ATATATTATATATAAATGATAAAGTATGAAATCATGGAAAAATTTTGTTCATTACTCATATTTAAAGTACATGTAGATTAATTAAAAGAATTAGTATCATACCTCATTATTAATGTCAAAGACACCCTCCTGTATTTTTTCATAAATTTCTTTTGCTGTATTGATGAACGCTTCTTCTACATTGGCTGCAGTTTTGGCACTGGTCTCCATAAAAACAAGACCATGCTCCCGTGCAAAAGCCTCACCTTCTTTTTTTCTCTGCAGTTATCATCTCTATTGATAATCAAACTTGGATAATATTAAAATCATAATTTTTAATAAAAATGATGATTAAATAGAAATGGAAAATCGAGTATTATTGAGTTTTAAATACATATACATGTCTACAAAACTAATAAGTCATAAAATTATAGTATTATATTATCAATTTCTTATTCTAATATCCATTTCCACCAACGTAGATTAACTTTATTAATCTCAGTTCAACTTACTTTTCGTCTTTTTCTAATCTTTAGAATTAGAATAAAACGAAGAGTAAGTTGAACCGAGATTAAAATTAATTTGATGGCAATGAGCATTAGTCACTTAAGTGCAGCTATGAATGTTGCCTTGCGTCCTCCAGCCATGTTGTAAGATGATTAAAAGTTTCTCTACGTGTAATGTCGTATACCAACAAAGCTCCAGCTGCTCCACGATAATATGACCTTGTTATAGAACGAAACGCCTCTTGACCTGCCTAAAAATGTAAATTAAGAAAATAATTAATAATAATAAATTTCTACTAATTATAGAAAATTAAAAAAGAAAGCATATAATTATCAGAATTTGTATCTCAGTAAAATAATAAAATAAAAAAAATATATAATTTTTTACAGAATGATTGAAAGTATCTTTTCAAATGAGTTTAATAGAATAAGAATTTAAAACTGTATAAATCTCTATATAAACAGTATTAATTTAAATATTATTATTAATACAAGTATTTATACTGATTGAGAGAATTATGATTCTATTAATAGTAAATATCGGTAATATGAAGTTTGAGTTCAACAATATAATATGAATTAAATAATATTACAGTGTCCCATATCTGCAGTTTAATTTGCTTGCTATCAATGGTAATCATACGAGCACCAAACTCGACTCCTATTGTCAAGTCGTGAACTGGCTGAAATCTTTTATCCGTGAATTGAAGAAGAAGACAAGACTTTCCAACTCCTATATAAAAATATCATTGTATTTATATATTATAATAATTATTAATTAGCAAGTTGTAATAAAATCTCATATGTATATTCAAATTAAATACAAAATTTCCCTATATATTGGCCTGTATTCAGAATACGCTTACAATGTTAGTGCGCTAACAAACTATACTTTACGTCACACATATTATAGAATTTCAGAGATAAAAGCTTTTATTGGTAAAAGTACGTTTTGAATATGGACCATTATTTTACTGCAACACTTATAAGTTTTTATATAATATATTTGCGATATATTGCATTATATAATATAATTTTTTAATTTCCTAGTATTTAACATAGTAACATTTATTTACAATAATTTATGAATTTAATTATGGAAATAAAATTGAATCAATACCTTTACAAGTGATAATAGACATTATACAAGATATATGCAAGATATTTAGCAGCAGAAATAATTCTATTATAAAACATGTAAGCCTGTACATGGAACGCGCTTTTATTCCTGAAATTCTATAATATGCATAACATATGGTATGTTAGTGCGCTAACATAATTGTAAGCGCGTTCTGAATATGGACTACAAAAAGTTACTATTAAAGATCGTTGGTAAATTTTCGTGACTATCAATAGGGTCTGGGAGGCCCAGGGATAATTGAAGAACAATACTGAAGATGTTACTGATAATTAATAAAAATTTAATTATTAACATAAATATTTCGATAAGGCATTATTAAATTCGTGATTTTTTATTATGTAAATGCTGTATAAATAAATATGCATATTTTTTAAATGTTATATCTTATATATTGCCAAAAAATTATAATTCTTTCTCTGCAGTTAACATCTCTATTGATAATCAAACTTGGATAATATTAAAATCACAGTTTTAAAAATCGAGTATTATTAAGTTTTAAACATGTCTAAAACTAATAAATCACGATAGTATTGTATTATTAGTTTCTTACATTTAGGCCCGGTTATTTCACCTTTTGGTAAATTTTACCTGTGAGGTAAATCTGGTAATTCGCGCACGTGATTGAATAATCTTACTACTTACCCAACAGATAAAATTTACCAAAAGGTGGAACAACCGCCCCTTAATCACTTAAATTTTAACAGGCTCACAAATTTCCATAAGCGTCGATCGTCTTTAATAGTATTTTGTCGGTGATACAGGTCATAATATATAACACGCTATATATAGATGTTAACGTGGAAATTGACAGGAAAGTTCGTCAAGTTGCACAAAATGGTACTCGATAGTGATGAAACAACATACAATAAATCAAGTAGCAATATGACGAGACGAGATCTACTTAAAATCCATCGCAACACATATATGCTGACACGCGACGAATATATTTAAAGGAAATAAACGTGTGTTAAGGGAATTTTTTTGTCGGTGGCTGCCTCTGTAAAACGAAGTTATTCTTGCATTTACGAATTAGCAATATCGTCGCGCATCATGGAAATGAAAACAAAGGGCCTGTCACGGACGACGTAGAAGATGCATGAGAAGGGGGAAGAGAACAAAGATCCCGTTTTTTTTTGCGGTGGTATCCCGCGTGCACGTCACGTTATTTACCTGTGTCTCCGATAATAATATACTTGAACAGATACGCGTACGACATTTCGGCGATACGCGAGATTAATGAGACGAGCAGACAATCTTCTACAGCACCGAGAGACACACCAGAAAACAGAACTTTCTTCCTATGACCGTTCTCTTATCTCTTCTGCTCCAACATGACGTCACCAGAGAGAAACCTGAGAGAGGACATGACGGTCCAAAATCACAAAATGCTGCCGCGCACTACTGCCCTCTTACAAGTGGATGTAAACTACATAGCAACGTCCACTTTTATTACGGTACATCGTCCACTTTTCAAGGCTGGAGATGATAAATCGATATTTGGTTCATATAATCGTGCTACATGTAATTATCACTTATAGCATTTTCGGCTATTATTTTCCTCGCATTCGACTGTAGTTGGTCAATTTCTTATGGCATAAAGCTTAAAACCTATTGTAGATCCGGACTTAAACCTTGTGTCCACGATGTTAGAGTCATGGCACACAAAAAACTTAAGACAATGGATACATTCGGTACTACGACAGTTCAGTGAGCGTTTGTATCTGTTTGGTCTATATTTTGAGTTCTAACGGAATATGCTAATCAGATGCAAGAGCTCACTGAGCGTTCAGTGAGCGATTATAATACTAAATGCACCCAATAAGCAGTATATAAGGAAATCAACATGTTGGATTGGCTACTATGTTATGATCTTACGGACTCTACTGTGATTGATTAATTCTTATTGCTTACGTTTTACCGCTTAAGTTTTCGTGTGCCATGACCCTTAGGCCGAGTTCATATCTTGATGGAAAAGCGGAAGCCAATCGCGGAACTCACAGTAGTAGTAGGTACATTTCGCTTATCTGCTTCTGCTTTCCGCGAGTTATTGATTGATTTCCGTTTTTCCGTCAAGATATGAACCCGGCTTTAGAAATCCGTCCTAATTTTCGATTCAAGTCCTAGAATAGAAATAGTTGTACTTTGATGACTGTAGATAGCGTTATTCGAGTATGTGATGTTAGCTACCGCAAATCGTAATTTATATAAATATTATATTGGGTCATCTAAAAAGTATCCGTGGTTTTTAGATGACCCAATATTATAAATCTCGAGGGATCGTTCGGTATGGACGTGCTTTATATATATATTTCTTTTTTTCAACGAATTTACTTAATAATTGCATTGATTCGAGACGCAGCCATTCTCCAAAAGAAAAAGTTGTAATTTATATCAACATTAAGGTATTAATTTACAAATGAAATTCTAATTTTTTAAATACATTGAAATACAAATAATATTTAAAGTAAATATAATAAGTTTGTTCCATTTGATATAACAAAAGTTTGAAATTATTTAGTTAAATAATTAGAATGAATTACGCATGAAACAGATCATATCTAGTATCAATGCTCCTTCAAGTCAGAGTAAATTTTAATTTATTTTAATTATTATTCGGGAAATATAATAGACAAAGCTACTAATATTTTTTAATTATTAAAAATTATTAATATAAGTGAAATTAAAATACGAATTGCTTTTAATTGAAAAGAATTAATGTACATAACCTAACTTATTCACAGTGTTAGTTGGAACATGAATAATTCAGCAAGACAAAATTGAAAAAGTTGCTGATTCTCGCAGCTTTTGTTATGTATGTGGAACAACAAGAAGAGCAAGAAATATAAGAATGAATATACAATGAAAATACAATGATTATACAAAGAAAATTCGAATTAAGAAGATCTGTTTATTTAGCACTCTATGAAGATGTAGAATCTTTTTGCAGATTCTTCAGAATGGATTTTCAATTATTCAACAATCTGTTGGATAAAATATCTCTATACCCATATTCAAAGACAAGATACAAAAGTACATTCCGCAATTCAAAGACTATCCTTGATTTTAAGATTCTTCTACTGGGGAATCTTTTCACCTCTTTTCAGTATGGAATTCGTAACAAGAATACTGGCTTGTACTTTATCACGTTTCATTCCTGAAACAGTTAGAGTCATCTATAGTGACAGACATCCCTGAACTCGCGCGTTGTTTACAGCTTAGCGTGCAAGTACTGTAGCCATTATATTAGATTAGGTTAGGTTAAAGTAATGATGTGGACTGCGAAGTCTGTGCATTAAACTGAACAACAGGAGATACGAGGAATTCCAAGAGGAAAATAGAAATGAGGTAAAGTACATTTAAGGTTAGAAAATGAATCGCATTGGAGTCAGGAAAAGGCCCCAAAAAGATATATATCCGAAAATTTAGAAAGTCTCAGTTAGACGAAAATATCTTTAAAGATTGCTTGGCAGAGAATAACAATAAAGTTTGGTGTAAAATTGTAATATTTCGCTTAAATGTTGTCGATATATTTTATCAAGGCATGCCGAATCAGCTTTTCATAGATAATGTAAATAGTGTTAATATAGAAATTGTTACCTCACAATAACAGATATATTTAATTTCTTTATATCTGTAATTCTATTTCTCTTTGAGGCGACTAAACGCTAGTTCCACGAACGGATTAGATACTGGCGCTTCAGACTGCGCGCATGCGCGAGTGCGGGCCATGTCTGGCAACACTGGTTATCTATAAAAATACTAAAAGATGAACATTTAAAGATAACTATTAAAATTATAATTTTTATTTCTTTGTATCGAATATATGCTATAGATATTTAAAATAATATTTACATACATAATAACTAATATTTTAGATCCGAATTCATCCTTCTTCAGATCTCAAGTCTGGTTTCTAATATTTGAATTCGAATTCCAATTTTGAATCCACAAACCTAAATTTCAGTGCTAGTGGCTAATCATCAAATTCAGTTTTTCAATGACTTCGTTTTTCGTGACTGAGCGGGAAGTGTAATGGCTTCTGTACACTGGACGCGGAAATGCTTGCTGCACGGCAAAATGTGATGCGTTAGCCAATAAGCTTACAACTCCAATGTGTTCATTGGTTATCGCGTTTCGTTTTGCCGCGCAGCAAGCGTTTCCGCGTCCAGTGTGCAGGAGCCATGAGAATAACATAAAAACGTGATGAGGTTACAAGTAATCAAATGTAATCCATTTTTTTAAGAAAGTGTGAGGTAAAGAATCAAAATTTTATAATATATTTATAATATTTATAATATAAAAAATATTTATATTAGGTTGGTGCGTATGAAATGTCAGATTTTTAAGTGAATATATAAAACTACATCTTTTTTCAAAAGCTGTTTATTTAATCAAAATATGCTTCATTTGTTTCGATACACTTTTCTCAACGAGATTTTAATGCATAGATGCCTGTCTTAAAGAAATTCTGATCTTTAGAATCAATAAACTCTGATATGGAATTTTTCAGTCTTCATTTTC